ATCAAAAATAATAAAAAAAATAAAAATACTAAACATTGACGCAGTTTCACCAGTTTGATAGATACATTTACAACTGGTGGGAGAACTTAATGGTTTATTGATTATGTTACAGGATTTTGAAGTGCCTACTTAGTGATCCGTACTAACAAGCTGTCTGGTAATCACACTATTATTCCATTATGGATAAGATTTTATTTTGATAAATCACACAGTGATATATATATATATATCTAGTATCTTGACACACATAAACTCACTAGTAGAAGGAATAAAATTCACATTTGAATCGGAAAATGAACAAGGAGAATTAGCTATGTTAGATTTTAAAATAAAGCGAATAGAAGAAGGTAAACTACACACTAGTGTTCATAAAAAAAACCAACGCATTCTAATAGATATTTAAACTTTAATTCATCTCATCCGTTAACTGTTAAGGCAGGCTTAGTTAAGTGTATAACAAACCGAGTAGTAGCTCTAAGTAGCACAAGAAAAGACCTAAATGATGAAATAAAACAGATAGAAGAGGCGTTGGTCTTAAATAACTATTCCATAAAATTCATTAGGAAGATCGAAAAAAGCCAAATAAAAATAATTATGAAACTAGTAATGATAACACAAATAAGAGAGAATATAAGTCATCAACTGTTATACCATATTAGGAGGGGACATCTGAGACCCTACGTAGGATTCTTAATAAAGCAGGGATTAGGGTGGCATTCAAACCTACAAACTCACTCAGAGACAAGCTCTGTAGGCTAAAGGACCCTGTCGGTGGACCCAATTAAACAAAATAATATAATTTACAAAATACCTTGTAAAGATTGTGAGGTCAAACTAGTAGATCGGGGGTAATCAGATTGTCGAAACATAAGAATTTAGCCAAGGCAAGAGTGGTTGACCCCAAGAAGATAAGTAATTTAGAAAAAAGCTCAGCAATTGCACTACATGCAATAACACACAACCACACAATAAGGTGGGAGAGGGTTAAGATTCTAAGAAGTAATCTATGTAGGTGGAGAGAGAGATTGATTACTGAATCCTGGTTCATTGAATCTACACCCAACACATGCAACAGAAATGACTCAATGCAAATACGAGAAATATGGAAGATATTATTACCGCCAGTCAAATCAGAGGAGGATAATAAATAATCTCAAAATTCTATTTCAATTCAAGCAAATCACAACATTCTAACAAATTACTTATTTAGGGGCTGACGGTATCGACGTTCGCGAGTTGTACGGATTATACTAACGCAAGATCTTATACCAACAACCACTATAGTGTTCGTTCTTCGAGTACCAAATGGTAAAGCAAAAGACCAGATTTTGTCGTCCAAATACGATATATATTTTGGGACCAAATCGCGGGTAGAGGTGAATGCTTAGCTAGCTAGTAATCGTGCACGCACGTGACACGACGGAGCACCAAATGGCGGGGATGCTTGACCGTAAGCCTTCAGCTAAACAAGTCGACTCAAACAGTGATGGTCAGCATCCAATGTTGAGTGATGATTGCTGTGGTTAATAATTTTGGGGAATTATTTACCGCTACACTTATTATAAATATAAGAACATTCGTCTTATTTCCCATCTAATTGTATTTGATCAATAACACTCATATTATTATTTCTGAATGTACATTATCTCATATTGATTTTTATTCAAATGTCTAATCATCAATTCCACACATGTATATAAATGAAGGAAAAAGTTGTGTGAGTAACTTGATATGATTATGAGCAGTAATTTGTGCTCGAAACGTCATCAGTTAATATTACTGTGTAACACTGTGATTTATCAAAATAAAATCTTATCCATAATGAAGTTATGGTCTACCATAGTGCCCAAGTTTTATACTTATATCAATCTCACTATTAAATGTTCTGATATCACTGAAATGTGAAGATTTCAAAGGCGCTGATTATAAGCTACTGTGTGCAGTACAACTGAGACTTAATGAAATGTCTAACCTTTTTCTCAAATTATTCCCTAATCACAGCTTGAATAGAAAACTCGAGAATGCTGTAGAAGATAATGGTACTGGTGAAATGCTCTCTGTTGGTGGGTCAGATGGTCCTCTGTAATATGTCGAATGATGAGCATCAACCTGAGTTACATATGGAATGTTTCTGCTTTCATGCTGTACTTCTTATGGTTACTCTATTACATCAAAGACTTGAAAACGAGAGAATTCAAAGCATTTCTTCTGGTTGCGCATTTTATTAATCTTCACATATTATTTACCATCCACTGTCTGATTTCACTTATGAGATTTTTCTATTATTCTTTCGCTTGCTTCTGAATGGAGTATATTACTTCAGGAGCGAATTTCCATTCTCTTCTACCACAGTGGTCTTTCTAGTTGGATTCATGACTGCCTGTGGACTTTGATTTCTTTTTCATATGATCCACTCTATGTCAACCTGGAAAACCCAACCCGTCACTCCTTATTCATTTTTTATAGTTAAGAGCCTGGCATGTAATGTTTCACAACTGTCTCCTCAGAGTGCGTGTTCAACGCATCTCCATATCCTTCTGCATGCTAGTTGGATTGCTGCATGCCAAGGTCTCTCATTGACTATCCTTTCTGGCCCACCCTCTGATCTTCAGCATGGAGCGAATGCAACGACTGATTAATATATACGCAGGGGAATCATTAATATTCATTATTTATTTCATACACTAGCATAATCATTGATTTCACGCATCTGCGTGATTATTGATTTAAATTACTGAATTCCCCAAGGTCGTTAATATTTTTAAAATGTGACATTGATTTTTCTAATTGTATAAATACGGAGTTGTTGTTTAACATTTTCGACTGTTGTTTGAGACAGTAAAAAGCTCTCATATCAACGTCCAGTCTTCTCTTTTATTTGTCTTGCGTGCCCGGCGGTATTATTGTTGTTGTTGACGTGCGATTAGGACAGATTAGCCAGCGCATTAGTTAGATTCGCTCGTAGTCTACAAGGTCATCATATTCACATACATAACACTGATGAAGTTCTGTAGCCTGTTGGATAAATACAGCCTCTGAAACTGTTGAAAAAAATAGCTCCATGGGTGTTTTATTCCCTCATTGATTTCTCTATCGACGAAAGAGAGTCATATGGTAAGACAACCGTTTCGATAGTCTTATGCTTTTCTTACTCACTTTTTGCAGTCTTTCACAAATAATATTCAACTGAAGATTGTACAATAATATGAGTACACCATTGCTATGTCGCACCTTGAAGACTAGATGAAATTGCAGTCTATTCAAGTAGATATCACTAAATATTTTTGAGAAATAACGCACTGAAAATAGTGACTAACATTGACGATCGCATCACAGAAATGCCTTTTTAATACCAACAAGTGGTATGAAATTCTGAAATATCTACTGTATATCAGTGAAGGTGAATATTACTCAACACCCACTAGGATTGAAATGCAGCACCTACTGTTTATCGGCTAGTGACACACGAATAGTTAGTTGCCGAAAAGATTGAGCAAGGTTAGTACATGTGTTACGCACGCATGCCTAGCTGTCACCTTCCTCAAGAATGGGCAATTTTAGCTGACATAGGATGAATCCGATTGGAAAAGAGCTAGTGGTGATAGTGGTCAAGCCAAAAAATGGCTTCTTTGATTTTTTTTTTGATTTTGATTTACAGCTTGATTCCACACCGTATTTTCAGTACAAGTGTGGAATTTTCAGCATGGATATCGGTAGCCCAAATTCAGGCCGACCATAGATATCGGGTGTGCGCCGGCAGGGGATCGAACCCCGGACCATATGCATGGTCGGCGAGAGTCCTAACCACTGTGCCACCGACGCACAGTCACTGAAGTCCACAACAGTTAGTTTAAGCCGCCTAGAGAGGTGTAGACTGCCTGACTGGTTGGGGTCCACGGGATGATAAGATCCAATGACGGCTGGAGACAATTGGTGACATAGATCAAAATCGTTCTCAATGACTAGCGCAGATGCATGCACTCACTCCTTGTGATTTATAATACCCAATAAAATCCTATTAATCTTCCATATTACTATTTTTTTTCTCTCACACATTTCTGTTTACTATCTCTCTCTCTGCTCTTGCTTTGTGTACTACATGGAGGGAGTGTGACAACTCGAATTGCAGCACATTTGTGCAAAGTCCAATGTTGAATCCAGTCAGTCAGTAGTTCGGCTATCAACCAAGGGACATGTGTACTGCTCAGCAGTTCGCTCCGTCCTTCTCTATGGCTCTAATCATGGCCAATTCGAGTTGAAGACATGAAAAGGTTGACTGTTTTTGATCATAGAGGTCTACGATCTCTTTCTCACGTTAGGTGGTATAATGAGGTAAGCAATGTTGACGTTAGGCGTAGAGTGTTGGGCAAAGAGGGAAAATCACTCGAAGAGGCTATAAAGTTACATAGATTGAGATGGCTAGGTCACGTGCTGTGCATGCCTAACCATCGCCTCCCCCGACGGACGGGCATTACTAGCTGATATAGGTGCAGGTTGGAAAAGAGTAAGTGGTGGACAAACAAAAACATGGCCTCATCAATCCATGAAATCCTTGACAGTTAAACTCAGTCAGGTAGGGAGGGAGATGCAGACTTCCGGGTTGGGGCCCGCTCTCGGGACTCTAAGAATCAATCAATCGCTGGAGACAATAAGTGACATGGATCAAAATCGTTATCAATGGCTTACGCAGATGTATTCAGTCTCTTGTGTAATCTTTCATTTTCCTTTCTACCATTACTCATTCTGTTTCACTCTTATACTTGTCAAAACTCTATTGATTCTTTTCACTCATCCATCTTCTTGTCTACCTTTGTGTGGTATTTGGAACGTGGCAACTCGAACTGCTGCACTTCGGTGCCAAGTTCTATGTTGAATCCAGACACACAGTGAGTAGTTAGAAATCGAGCACTCCAAGGAAAAGGCTAACTAAAGCCATCCATACACAACTTGTGTTAAAGCAGTATGAGAAAACAGAACAAAAAAAAGGATATGAAATTTTGCTATCAGTAACATATTCATTCTTTAGTTGTTGTGGTTGTTGGTTTTTCTTTTAAATATATAAAACACACATAGAGAGGTCGGTCATAAGAGAAGCATTACAACAATATTGTCAAGTACAGGAGTAAAAAGAAAATAAGAATACAGGATAGGATATGATGAATGCCATCCAGATAAATAAATTGTTAGAAAGATAAAATTTATAAATTTTTATAAAATAAATATATTTCCTAGCAGACGAATTTTTTCTTTTTAAAATAAGAGAGAGAAAATGGAACAAGGGGAGATAAATAATTAAATATTAATAATATTAAATGACTGAGTGAGTGTGTCTGTGTTATTACAATCCGATGTCTAGTATAAAATATATCCAGTAACTTCTATACAAATAAAAAAACAAACAGACTGTAAGCAGTTGCTGCATAGCTAATAATCATCATCGTGAAGGTGACAAATCAATTCACATAAAGACATACATACACAATGCATTCGCGCGCATATATAAACAACAAATGAGGAAAACAAACAAATTGAAAGCAAATCTATTCGTCATTATTATTAGATTGAACACATTGAATCGGCGCCGAATATGAAAGCGTTAAGAAAATAAGTTTGAATTGGGAGTGTTTTATTTCTTTTTTTCTTCTTCTTTTCTTCAGGCATTTGTGGTGATGACAATTCTCTCTCTTATTCGAGTAGGGATTAAGAGATACCACCAAAGAACAAACCAAAAAATATGCACACGTGTTATAAACAGTAACAACCTACCATCAAAAATTGATTATATATATACCGGGATAAATTAGGTGCATTTAGACAGAGAGAGAGAGAGAGAGAGAGGATGAGAAGCACTTAAAAATAGTAATGATAATAATAATAGATGAGCATGTAGTTGTGTGATAGAGAGAGAGAGAGCAGACAACCATCATGTACATTTAACTTAAAAGTAGTAAATTCTATATCACAATGATAATAATAATAATAATAATGTTACATAAAAGAAAAGGTATGCTGTTTATTTTTCTTCCCGTTTGAATAATTTGAAGAAACAAAAATAGTGCTCATTTTTTTTCAACTTGTAAATAATGAAAATACAAAAATGAGAAAACAAAATATATTATTGGATACACGGAAATCTTTGAGGAGAGAGAGAAAGAGTGTCTGAGGCACGCAAACACAGGTAAACAAGCACATTTTTAGCATTAAATACAATGGGTCTTCTTTGAAAAGTAGGCAGACAGAGCGTGGAGTGTTGGGGGGTGGTGGTGGTGGGGGCGACGACAATAGCAACTACAAAAGAAGAAGTGGACAGTAGTAGGCATAGCCAGTTGTAAACAATCTAATAGAATAAACTACTCTTAAAAAGTAAAGAGACTTAGCAGGTGACAAACAGTTTTTGAAAACAAACACAATTCAAATGAGCACTATTCTCACGTTTGTGTGTGTATGTGAAAAGCGCAGTCAGAACCTTCTATGCAAGCACTAAGAGATATGCAACAAAGTAGAAAATAAACATATAGTGAGACGGTTTGTGTGTGTATGTATGTCGGTACATATATGCATGTATATATACTACTAATAATAGTAGTGATAAAAATGTTAATTACAAGAAGGTTGCCTAATAAAAAATAAGAAGAGAAATAACAATAAAGCAAGAAGTCAATGCTTTAAATAGTCGAGAAGAAAATTGTCAAGTATACACAGCAAAATAAGTAAATATTTATACGCATATATAAATAAATATATATAGATAGATAGATTTATAAGGAATGATGTAAACTAAAGAATTTATTATTATTATTATCATCATTATCATCATCTCTTGTCAATCGTAAAAGGAAAATTTAGGTGTTCTCTGTCGTCTCTTCATCTCTCGACCACCCACTCACTCACCGTCTCTTTGTGAATAGCGTGGGCGTGCTGTTATTCGTGTTTGGTTAATAATCGCTAGTTAGGCATAATTTCTGGGTGTTAATTAATTATTGTGTGTATACACCAACGCACATATATGCATACACACACAAACACACTCATGTACACACACACATAAGATTAATTTTGAGCATTACGTAAATGAGCTTCGTGTACTTCGAATTCTTTAACTTCATGAAAAATACGAGCTTTCCATTCTTCAACGGATAAATTTCTTTCACCGAAGGAATCATCATATCGAGCTGGTGGTGGCTAAATTATGCAGGAGAAAAGGGGGAGAGAAAAATACACAATACAAAAGATAGACAGATACACATTCAGGATATATAAGTAGGATTTTATTTCCATTGTAATACATAGAAAAGAAATTAACAAGTGTTTAAAGCGAGAAAAATTGGTAAAGTTCAATTTGGGCGCGTACATCAATCACTTTGGAACAAGAAATTGTGCTAAAAAGATAAATATAGTCCCTAACTCAAAGAGCTTAACCTATCTTCCTAATTAGGTTAACTTATCTAGGCGGTGTCGTTTCAAGACGACAGACAAACTGCACAAAGATCAGGGTGTCATAGTGAGGATCGGAAAGGCAAGGTACACCATCTTCATTACTTTGAAATCTCCTGCACTCAGCATAGAGAACAAAAATTGGATTTTCAACACCAATGTTTTGGTCAGTCAGTTCTTCTATACAGGTCAGAAACTCGCACTGCGCGAGTCACGAAAACGATTTCCAACAGGCCACTGGAGACTTTTATCAACAACTGCTCACTTCGCTGACTCCATACTGAAGATCAAATGGCCAATCGGCTGGCCAGAAAGAACTAACAACAAGAAACTCTGGCTGGGAACAAACCAACCAAGAGCCGATTGCTCAAGATATATGTAGGAGATAATGGAGATGGATTGATCGGGCATACGTTGAGGAGGCCATTGAATGACATCGCTCGAGTGGAATCCCAATGAGTTCGAGCAAATTGGAGGAGATGAGAGATTATGGCAATCGTGGTGCCAGATGAAGAGGACAGCAGAAAATAGAAGAAAGTGGAGATGTGTTGTTGAAGCCCAGTGTCCCACTTGGGTTATGCGTGTAAAAACAGGGCTCCAACAGAACATCTTACATTATATCCTGTCCTCTGTAATCCTCTTCAACTGGCTTCACGACTTAACATAGTGTCTCATCTCCTCCATATCACCCTTGTCGTTTCCCATTCATGTTCCACTCGAGCGATGGTTTGGCGCGTGATGTCACTTAACGGCATGTGTTCAGTTCATCTTCATTTTCTTCGGAATATCTGTTGACCGACAAGTTCTTAAGTCGTTCAATTCCAGACTTTCTTGTTGTTAATTCTTTCTGACCAGACGGTCATCTAATCTTCGGTATGGAGTAACTGAAGGTAGCTGTTGACGTAATTCTGCAGTAGCCTGTTAGAAATGCTTTTCGTAACTCGCTCGCCAGCTTTCTGACCCATGTGTATGAAAAGTGACCGTGTGTTGAAAATCCGAATTTTTTTTATTTATGGTGAGTGCAGATTTCCACACTGATTTTAGAGTGATGAATAGCTGTCTTTTGCCTTTCCGATTCCCGTTATGACACCATGATCTGTGTCATTTGCATCTAGTTGAGAAGAGGCTGTCTAGATAAGTGAAGAAAGTGCCTGCTTGCAAATTGCTTCCGTTGGTAGATGTTGATGTTTGTTGTTGGTTGGTTGGTTTATCGTCATCGCCTCCGTTTTCTCTACGTTCACATGAAGTCGTGTCTTTGCTGCCAGCCCCTCCTCCTATTACCTTGTTAGTTTTTACCTGTAAGTCTTTGAGTTTGCGTGACATCAGACATAAATCATCAGCGCAGTCCAGACTTTAAGGAATTCGTTGGCATTCTTAACGTTTTATCTGTCTAAGATTTTCACATGGATGTCAAAAATTATAAGGATTTCCACTGTAGTCATACCTGTTTCATACAGCTAAATGGAGATTCTGAAAACTCAACCAACATAATTCAGACTTAATGAACATATTCTCGAATTTATATACATAAAAATTTTGTACTTTCTGTTGATCGACTCCGTTATAACCAAAATACCCGGTTTCTGTCGACATGTCGGCTCGTAGTACAGATGCTTTTCACCAGCATGTAAAGATCTCCGTGCAGTTATTTCATATGGAGGTGTGACTAGCAACATTTACTAGGATGTATATTTCGTTCTATTTTGGACTCGTCAGTCGGATGTACCTGCATTTCCGGTGATGATAATACCTGATAACTATCGCACAAGAGCTGGCCCAGTAGGTGATAGTTTGGCGTTTGAAATGATGAATGCAAGGCCCAAGTCTCAAGGGGAACACATTATCACCCGCAGAGTATGCAGGTACACACATCCAGCTAGCTAGCTAACGAGTCCCATTTAGGACGGAATGCAGGTATTGGATTCCACTGTTAATCAGCGTTAACCACAACTGACTACATTAAGTGTATAAACATACTGCAATGCTCATACATAAATATTGTTAGAAGAAAGAGTAGGTTAGTTAGTAAGTTCACTTTATATATAAAGACAGTGACGTTTGAAGTGATTATTACTCCGTAAAAAAAGAGGCAAGGAAACTGCCAGGCATCTTCGATTTCTAACCCCCCTCCCTTTCAGTCATCTTGATGATAGACACTAAGCAACTAACTGCTTTAGCGTCCGTGGTTAAGGAGTAAAGTGCTCACATGTTCCGGCTTCGATTTCTAGGCCTGGTCTCCGAGGAAAAGGAAGATTGGGTATGAGGTTGGTAACTCCACAGCCACTTGGAACGCAAGCGATTGAAACAAAGAGGACCGCATGTTTCAGATACAGTTTATGGCTGACGTCAATTTGTAACAAAATGTACCTTGAAATATTTTTTATTTAAAGATGAACAACTACACAACTCCACTGATAAACTTACTGCATTGACTTCGGAGTCTTCATACCATACGTGTATATATGGATGATGTAGAGCTTCATCGACAGATATTCTCTGTAATGGATCTATCACTAACATTCTACTCAATAAATCACGAGCTTGATCAGCGTTCAGTGTTTCATGCTCCTATAATAAGAGAGAGTTTGAACAACAAATAAAAAACCAGCATATACTAATTACAAACACAAGTTTGAAAAAAAGTAGTATCTAGTTTTAAATTTACAAAGTTACTAATTTAACAAATGTCTTGGTAAAAACATGATATAAAAAGGGTTGCTGAATTAATTCTGTGATATTTAGAAAGAGATTTTTGTTAACTTTGGGTTTCTGTGAGACAACCTCAAAACTAATGAGATGGAAGTAGAGCGCGGAGCACGTGTTCATAATCTTGTTTACATTTCTCTAAAAACCAAGGAATGACTGAATCAAGCTTACAAATTATGTCAGGTGTGTGCTACTGATACGATTAATAAGTAGTATACTCATATGTAGACAAAAATATGATTGATTGACTGGTTTCAGAACAGAACTTTGCACACATGTGCAGCAGTTCGAGTTGCCACACTCCCTCCATGTAGCACACAAAGCAAGAGAACAGAGATTCAGAAGAAAGACAGAGAGGGAGAATAAACAGAAGTGTGAACGGAAAAAATCGTAAGTAATATGGAAGAACAATAGTTTTTAATGGATATTATAAATCACCAAGTGTGAATGTATCTGCTCCACTGAGAACGATTTTGAATCATATCACCAATTGTCACCAGCCATCACTGGTTCTTAAACATTCCGAGGACCCCAACCAAGAAGTCTACACCTCCGTACATGGCTCAGACTAACTGTCAAAGATTTCATGGAATGATTTCATGTTCTCGTTTGACCACTCGTAACCCTTTTCCAACCTGATGGATCCTATATCAGCTACCATTGACCACCGAGGAAGGCCATGGCAAGGCATGCGTAACACACGTCCTATCCTAGACATCTCAATCTTAAGATCCACATCCTTGTCGACAAACTTACTCTCCTCACCTAGCACTTGACCGATGCCTAACCTCAAAATTGCCTACCCTATCATACCACCTAACATGGAGGATACAAATGAGACAACTATGATCAAAGACAACTAGCCTTTCCATGTCTTCCACTTTCAATAGCCATGTCTCAGTCACAGCCATAAAGGAGGACGGAGGGAACATCTGAGCAATCTACACCTCCTTTGGTCGACAAAGTATGCCAAACGAGCCTTCTCTATTCCTGCTGAGATTTCGTCAGCGATCAAACTGTTGGCACTGGCTGCTACAACTTCCCAAATAAGTGAAGTGGTCAACATGGTCTACCACTTCAATCCTCCTATCTTCAAGCTAGGAGTTGATGTCCAGTCCCTGCAGCACCATCTTACATTTGACAAAGGGAGTCAATTCCATGCCAAATATTCGAAGATTATTGCTCAAGGTATTCAGATGACTCTACATCTTGTCAGTGTTTTCACTTGGGACGACTATATCATCCTCATATTCTAAGTCAAGAAGATTACCCCATGGTAACGAGTCAATCGTCTACAAGGATATCGAACAGCGGAAAGATGGATTTAATGAATAGTGCTTGTGAAACAACTTGGAAAACGTGAAAGAAAGACAAGGAAACACCATGCGGGAGAGCAAAGGAGTACCAATACCGAAAACATGTAAAAATTGTGATTCCAATATAATGGTAGACGAATTTTGTCTATATCTGCGTATTGAGTTGCCAATATATAATTTCGCTGCAAAATTCTCTTGTTTTCTGCTATTAAAAATACATAATTAACATGTTTAGTAGAAGTTGAAAATGACAGGACATCAAATTCCAGAATGGTCAACGAGAATCGGTCTCACAGTCTAAAGGTCTCAGATTCAATCCCTGGTGGTGGTTGAGGGGGAGGGGGCGGGCGCGGGGCGTGGACATGCACACAGTTGAAGAAGGCAAAACAGCTGTCCAGTAGTCCTCACCGGTCTTTAATAATCCCTATAACTGGTGTTGGTTTGTCAGGAAATCTAACAATTTTGAAATGAATACTTTAAAGAGAGTAACAAACACAGATTGAATGAAGTATTATTAGTCATTATAACAGGAAACAAGCAGGCAAATAAAGATATTCCAATTACCCACGCATATATAAAAAGAATGATGGTATTCAGAGAATAAGTGTTAAATATTAGAGTAACCTGTTAGTAGAATGGAATTCATTTTTAAAGAATGTAAATAATAATGATAGTAATAATAACACATCATACTTGTTAAGTAAATGACATTTATACACCCGAAAACTGAATAACTTGGTGGTAAAACAACTCAACTTGTGTAACGTAATGATTAACAACGCATCATCCCTCTTTCTTTCTAGTCGAAGTATTACACACTTTAAAAAGGAATGTGGTGATAGAAGACAGGAATTCAAGGGTTGGTCATTAGGTGGGGTCTCAATGGTTAAATAGTAGTCTACAAGCTTGACTTATAACTGAAGGGTGTTAGATTCAAACCCCAGTGATGGGTTCGTACTGGTGAAGAATCCCAAACTAGGACGAAGCATCTATCCAGTCCTCAGTGGTAGTTTCCAATGGCTCTCTCTTTAACTGATGACAACTAGTGTTCACACCTGATAGAATGTCGAGAGTTCTTTAAAAATGTTAACCCTCATTATAATCAGAACTTACTGCATTGTTGTAGGGGCAAAGTAGGTTTTTTCATAGGTCAATAATCACTAAATACTAACTAATTAATTGTAATCAAATTATTTTTAAAAAATACAAAAGCTCATCATTCTCTAACACAATCATTGAGACCATTCTATCAGTTTGCCAACCCAATTTTTAGTATAAAAAATATCATAAAAACATTCAAGTGGATGACGATGAAATCACGACGTCCGTCCTTTGATGTCACAGTATTATATATACACTTTAATTGGCTCAAAACTAGCAACTAGAAACTGTGCAACAACTACTCGATAGCGATCAACATACAAGAAAAGGCTATGTTCAACTTAGATGGAACTCATAGAATTATTATATCTTACAACATATTTCCAATTCAGTGGTCAGAGAAACGAATATATCAGGATTAATAGCTGAAGACGTTATGAAAAGACTGGAATTAATAGCCCTACAAATAATTAAACCGAAAATTTGGGCACATCATGTTGATGGTATATTGGTAATAATTAAAAGAAATGTGATTTGGAATACATCCACAAACTAATCAATCAAGAACATATTTTTGAAGACATGAAATTCACACGAGAAGAATCAAACAACACAATTCCTTTCTTAGATGTCTTAATCACGAGAACAAACAGGGGAAATCTAGAAACACAATTATACAGAAAGTCAATATATATATATATTATATATATATATATATATATATATATATATATATAAGGATATCTCTGAAATAACGCCTAGAATATTAAGAGCATTTGAAATAGACACAGTACAAAAGCCAACACAATCGACTCATTCAATATTGTGCAGACTACAGGATCCAAAAGCAAAAGAAGACAAGATCAATGCCATATACAAAATAAATTGCATAAACACCACATTAATCAAAGGTGGGCGTCCTCTTCGAATCAGAATCCAAGAACATAGATTAGTTGTGAAAAGATATGATAAATACATATATATCATATGTCGAGATTTTAAACAGAGGAAATACCAAAAACGCCAGGGAATTTCTAAAAGCCTGGTACTCAGGCAAATCGGTGATTAACGAACACATTCACTTTAGCTCAAATTTACCAACTACTAAGAATCGATCACATGACAATCAAGTTTAAATTCCAAGTCAGTTAAAAACGGTTAATACTGATATAAATTAAGAACCAATCACTACTGAACTTCCTCAGGACCGTGTTGGACTAGACGTATAACACCGGTTACTACCTAGTGTCCAATCTAAGTATCCAATACAGTCAGTCTTACAGGAGGTCAGTCGCGAGCCCGAATAGCTCCTCAGTGGTAACGGCTCTGACTGCAGTACAGGGTGACGTCAGTTCGAATCTCAGAAGGGACATGAGTTCCTTCAAGGTTGCAGATACGCCTTGCTGACTGGTGACTGCCAACTAGCACGAAACCTAGGTTCAAGGCTTCCTGTGGCCAAATGCCTCCAACCATCTAAAATACATATATTTAAATTTTATGAATATATTCTTTATTATTTTGGTTAGCGCTTTAGCAATACTAAAAACATGCAATTATTTCGGCAAGTTATTTTTCGCCTTACAGGTGACTTTAAAGGGAGAGGTTGTAAAAAAATGTTCAGCGGTGTCAGTTATTCGGCTGCTTATAGTAGACCTACGTCCGACTCTTCGTAACCACGCACGGGAATATTTTCGCACATATCCGAAATAAACCCGCCTTGAACGAGTGATATACCTAGCTACACACAGAAGCAAGTGAACTAGCATACACACAAAACGTTGGTCATATATATATGCTCATGATCTTGTCCTACAGATTGATTTTCAAGAGTTAGTTTGTAGGGGATTTGAACTGTTTCGACTTTGATCACGGAGTGATATCATTCGGAGAACTATTGGAAACCAGAAGGGTGTGCGGGACAGTTGTTTTGTCCTGATTTTGAACTCTTTATCGGCATGCACCCACTGCCAAGGTTCGAAACCAGGACAAGTCAAGCTGTTAGATTATTCGGTCACTTCTACTGAATCCAAATTCCCGCCAAACTGTAAATTTAAACTTCTCCCAATTCGTGATTTTAGTCCGACCAGCAGCCAATGTCATCACTGGCGGGAACTGTTTGTCCTCACCCCCGACCGGATGGACTCCACTAGTTATAACTTCTTAATAGAACTCCAGGCAATTTCATCCTGTAGCCAGTCATTTGCAAGCATCAAAAACCCGGTGGGTGCATAGTGCCGATGAGCCCCAAAATACGACAAACAGTTGTCCAGTACACCCTGGTGGTTTCCAGTGGTTCTCTAACTGATAGCAATCCGTGATCAAACTTCAAATTATTGGTAAGCAGTGATCTATTTTTGGTAGGTACTACTGCTTCCGTCGGCGATGAAACAAATGTCCTTTTCGCGGACTTTCAAATTTCTTTTTTAAAGGATATCGGGAGGTAGA